GAAAAGTCCCGAAGGGGAATTTACCACCGTTTGCCTGTAACATACGAACAGTTCCCTTCGCCCCCTGCCCGAGTCTCTCCCTTACGCTCTCTTCACACAGACTGGGGGCTTTCGCTTCCAGTTATTAACGTCATTGACCCCCCCCGTACCGGGCCGTGAAGCGGAGACCCTGGTCGCTGCCACGCCGCGCCCAGCTCAGCCCCACAGGCGGGGGAGACCTGGTATCCCTGAGTCCGCTCCATGGCTGGGGATACGGTGGAGGGGGGACGTAGCGTCTTGTGATTCAGCTGATCCGAGTAACGGACCTCACGGCCCGTCTCCGTTGCACAGACCCGGCGATCCCAAAGCCCGTCTGGTTAGTGTCGAACCATTTTCACAGTGATCCCGTGGGTCCCTTCGAACGTGCCCCGGGTGGCCGCCTCCCCAGCTGGGGCAGAGCTGGTGTGCGGCTCAGAGGTGCCTTCCCCATCGCTAGGAGAAGTGGTTAGAGGCGGCTGTTAACGCCGTTCCCCTCCCGGCACAACTGTTCCGACTTTAGTGTTACAGGCGTTTCCTGCTGGGCCTGGGGTCTCCCAGCCACCTGCTTCCCCAGCGGGGCAGAGCTCAGCTGCAGCCAGACGTCCCTCCGGCCAAGGACACGGGAGATTCCAGCCCTGGACGTCCTGGGGGTGTCTGCCCCGTTCCGGAGGCCTCCCTCCCTCTGATCCTTGCTCTCCGGAGAGCAGCTGGTGTGTGCATGGGAGGGGCCCGTGCTGCCAGTGCAGAGGCCGTGAACCGCCAGGCTCTTGGCATTGCCCAGCATCCCAAGAGTTAACAGGGGCTCCCCGGGGGCGAAGGGGTAAAGCAGCAGCGAGGAGCCCCAGGGCTCCGGGTCCTGCACTCCAGGTCTAGACGCTGTGCTCCAGTTCAGGTTTGTTCTGTACGGCCCCGTTCAGGCTCATCTGCTCGGCCGGCTTCCCCTGCTTGGCTTGCTTGGCCTGCTGCTGTCTGAGCCGGTAGTTTCGGATTCTCGTGGAGCGGTAGTACAGGTAGCCCCCGACGCCTAGTACGGTCAGAGCAGCAGCCGCACCTGCCAGCCCCAGTGCCAACACCAGGATGTTGAGATCTGTTAAAGAAGGAGCGAGGTTGAGGAGGGCTAAGAGCTGGTTCAGCCTCGTGGGGTGGGCAGGGGGCAGTGGGCTGGGACTCAGGACACCTGGGTTCTACTCCCCTCAGCCACTGGTCTTGGGTAAGTACCTCACTCGCTCAGTGCCTCAGTTTCCCCTTCCACTCTTTGCCTGTTTAGATGGTGAGCTCTCTGGGGCAGGGACTGTCTCTCACGCTGGGTCTGTGCAGCGCCTGGCACGACGGGGCCCTGATCTCAGTCGGGGTCTGGGCAGCGCTTGGCATGACGGGGCCCTGATCTCGGCCGGGGTCTGGGCAGCGCCCGGTGCAACAGGGCCCTGATCTTGGCCGGGGTCTGGGCAGCGCCTGGCGCGACGGGGCCCTGATCTCGGTTGGTGTTCTGTCATATTACACATAATTAGTAGGAGGACGAGTTGGGACAGAGATGAACCTGAAAACCCCCAGGCTACAGGATACTGGACCCATCCCCGCTCGCTCCGGGGTGGGAGTGATGCCAGGACGCACCCCCTGAGCCTGGGGGCGGTGGGCTGTGCCCTGGCCGAGCCTGCAGAGCACAAGCCACACCGATGGACCAGCCAGATGGGATCACTGGGCCTGCCAGTCTGACCTCCAGCAGGACGCCAGGCCAGAGAATGGCAGCCCAGATCCCTGTACTGAGCCCCCGCGGCTTTGTGGGGCGTTTGGGCTCCTAAATCCCATGGAAAGTCAATGGGATTTTACCAAAGAGACCCATTAACCTGTGCTCCTAAATCCCTTTGGCACTTTTGCACGCCACCCTCCAAGTCGCCTGCTGGAGGATCCACCAAAGGCCACTTACACTCCACCTGGACGGTCACATCCCGGCTGGCCGAGCCGTGCGCGTTGGATGCTTTGCAGTGGTAGGTCCCGGCGTCCTCTCTGCTGACCTGCCGCTGCACCCCGATGCTGACGGGCACCCCGTCCTTCATGCACACCACGTCTGGCGCTGGGTTCCCCCGGGACAGGCAGGAGAAGGTTTGCTCTGTCCCCTCCTTCCAGATCCACTCCCTGGGGCAGCCGGAGTCGTCCATCCTGGGCCCGTCTGGAAGCGAGAGGGGGCGGTTGGTTACGCTGCCCAGGGCTGTGTAGCCCCATCTCCTGCCCGCCCCCGGGGCTGCTGCCAAGGCCGGCGGCTCTCCCCTGCCACAGGCGCCTCCTCGCTGGGCTCCCCCCACTGCCCTGCCTGGCACCAGCAGGCCTTGCTCTGGGGCAGCACAGGGGGCCCGGCGTGCAAGGCAACAGCCTGGGCTTGGGAACTCTGGGGTCAAGCCCTGCCTCTGCCATGGCCGCCCGGTGTGACCTGGATCTGAGCCAAAGCCTGATAAAGTCACGAGAAGGTCTCAGGTTCCCCATCTGTAAAATGGGGCCAGGGATTCCTCCTGTCTCATTAGCCTGGGAACATTCCCTGAGGCAGGACTGTATCTGTGCAGCACCCGGCGCGACGGGGCCCTGATCTTGGCTGGGGTCTGGGCAGCGCCCGGCGCAACGGGGCCCTGATATCCTAATGCTAAGAATTGATTGGACCCAGTGCATTTCTCTGGCCGCTGCTGCACAGGAATGGCCGCCCCAGGTCGCAGGCACAAGAGAGTCGCTCTCTCAGCCGAAAGAAGAATTAGAGACTAACAAATTTATTGTAGCATAAGCTTTCGTGGGCTGCAGCCCACTTCATCGGATGCGTGTAGTGGAAAATACAGAAGGAAGATATATATAATATATATATATACACAGGGAACATGAAACAATGGGTGTTACCATACACATTATAAGGAGAGTGATCAGTTAAGGTGAGCTGTTGTCAGCAGGGGAGAAAAATAACTGTTTGTGGTGGTAATGAAAATGGCCCATTTCCAGCACTTGACAAGGAGATATAAGGAACAAAGTAAAACTATTTCCCCATGCTTATCTCTCCCCCCCCCCCCCCAGTTCCTTATATCTCCTTGTCAAGTGCTGGAAATGGGTCGTTTTCATTACCACCACAAACAGTTATTTTTCTCCCCTGCTGACAACAGCTCACCTTAACTGATCATTCTCCTTATACTGTGTATGGTAACACCCATTGTTTCATGTTCCCTGTGTATATATCTAGATCTAGATCTTCCTACTGTATTTTCCACTACATGCATCCGAAGAAGTGGGCTGTAGCCCACGAAAGCTTATGTTCAAATAAATTTGTTAGTCTCTAAGGTGCCACAAGTACTCCTGTTCTTTTTGCGGATACAGACTAACTCGGCTGCGACTCTGAAACCTGTCCCAGCCGAGTGCGTCGGAAGAAAAGCTGGTGGGAGTGGAGTGGGAGGATGGGCCAGGAGCCCTGGGTTCGAGTCCTTGGGTGAGGCTCTGGGGGCTCAGCTGCCAGCTGTGAAAAGGGGGCGTTGCTTCCTGACTGCAGGGGGGCTATGACGGAGCAGGGAGCGGGGCGGATTTGACCTGGGAATGTTGCAGGGGAGTGACATTGGGGATGGGAAGGAAGCTACCTGAGCCAGGAGGGGGGGTGGGAGAAGTGACACCTGCCCGGGAGACTGGACAAAGGAGAGGAGGAGCAGAGGGGAGGGGGGAGAGAGCTGCTCGAGGAGTTGTTAGTTTCAGTTTGGGCTGGGTGGTGCAATGCAGGGAACCCCAAGCTGGGGTCTAAGCTCCCTAAACCCCCCAGAAGGACTTGACTGAGGGGTCCCGGTTGTACCTACAAGCTCTGCTGTAGACTGCGTTCCTACTGTCCACTAAACCTTCCGTTTTACTGGCATGGTGAATCCCAGGAAGAGGGGTGCCGGGCCCTGACTCCCTCACACTCCGTGACAGGGGTGAGCGCAGAGCGTGGCCAGTGGGGCCGGGGCCGGAGCAGCACCTAAGACAGAGCCGCGGCCCCTCTACTCACAGAGGACAGTGAGCCTGGCAGACGTGCGTTTCACGGCGGGGATGTCGGAGCCAGGCCTTGCTTCACACGTGAACTCCCTCCCGTTGTCTTCCTCGCCAGCCGTCAGCTGGAACTGCACATGGGGCTGGCCGGGGGCGGGGGCGCTGGAGACCAGGACTCGCTCGGCCTCTCTGAGCTGGAGCAGGACGCCCGGGGGGTCGGCCTCAGGAGAACGGCACGTAACGGTCACGCTGCTGTTAACGAGGGTCCGGGACTCGGTTACCTCCAGGATGGGCTCAGGGAGACCTGCAAGGGACCAGGACAGAGCTGCTGATCCCGTCCGAGGCGCCGCACGCTGGCTCCCCGGCAGGACGCTTCGCTCGAGACCGGACGGGTGAGATGGTCGAAGCCAGCTGGGGGCTGGACACACCTGGCCCGTTCAAGTAACACCCAGACCCCGAAGGGAGTTAGGCCCAGATCCCATGGGAGTTAGGCACCTAAGTGCCTTTGAGTACCTGGGCCCAAATTCCTCCCGCAGGTTGCTCCACGCATGGACTGGTACCTAAATCCCCATGGCTCCCCCCGCCTCTCCCCTCCAGCTCCAGCCGGCGAGGGCTCCGTTCTCTGGCAGCGCCCGCTCCTCATGCCCAGCATCAGGGTACGAACCTGCCTCTCCCTAGTGGGGCAGGCCGGGCCAGGGGCAGACTGACCCTGGTCTCCGCATGGCCGGGCGGGGGCCTCGGTGGCCTCGCCCGCTCCCTTCCAGCCCAGCGCGGCTCTGGTTCTCTGGAGCCGCTGGGAGGAATTCCCTGGCCTGGGCTACGCAGCCGCTCAGCCGCGATGACAGCCTGGTTTGTTGGGAGCACCCAGGCTCAGTGGAGCGCCTGTGTGGGAGGGGAGCCAGGTCAGAGCCCCACAGAGGGGTGTTGGGGGACGAGTCCCAGGCCAGGCTAGGACTGGGCGTGGGAGCAGGGAGGGGATCTGGTGCGGGGGGGGACCCGTGGGAAATCGGGCCGGGGGGGCTGAGTTCTGCTCTGGGCTTGGGGCGAGTTTCAGCCTGAAAACTCAGATGGAAAGTCCAGGGGGAGGAACCGACGTGAACTGAAACCAGCCCCCGCGGAGGCTGAATCCACAGAGATCTGCCCAGCCTCCGCGCCAGCCCGGCCCACAGTGCCGACGTCCCCCGCCGAGCCCCCGAAATCTGGGCAGGCCGGGAGCCCCCCAGACACTCACGGTAAACGAGAACGCTCTGCCCTGCGGATCTGGACACGGGCCCCACAGTCACGGTGCAGGTCAGCTGGTGCTGTCCCGGGGACGGGGACCGAACCTCGCCCTGGGCGGTGGCCGTGTCCCCCGACGTGGTGACGGTGAAGTTCAGGCTCTCTCCCCAAAAGGACAGGTTGAACCGGGCCTCTCCCGCGACGGGGAAGACCCCGGCCACCCTACAGCGGGCGGGCGCCCTGGTGCCCACCTCGATATAGAGGGAGGTTTGGAGCTGGGGCTCCTCTGGGAGATCTGCAGCGGGCGAGAAAAACCATCGCGGGGCATGAGGGAAACATCAGCAAAGGGAGCCACTTGGGACCCTGTGAAGAACTGGGACTGTTCTTAATGTGGTCTTTGAATGCTGAGAGGGGAGGTTGGCTGGGACGGTCTGCAGGGGGGGATGGGAGACTGGCCTTAAGGGAGGATACCTGAGCATGTAACGTGAGAACCCAGGAGGGGGCTGGGGCCAGGTGACACCTTTGCCCAGGAAATGGACAAAGGCTGGGGGAGGAGCCGGGGGGAGGCTGAGTGAGAGACGCTGGAGGGAGTTAGAGTTTGGAGCTGGCTGGTGAAATGGAGGGAGCCCCAGATGGGGCTCTGCCCCCCAACGGGGCTGTGGTGTCCCTGGGGCCCCTAGATGGACCAAACTAAGGGGGTCCTGATGTCTGTGCCTGCAAGACCTGTCTTGGGCCGTGTTCCTGTCGTCTAAATAAACCTTCTGCTTTACTGGCTGGCTGAGAGTCATGGTGAATCGCAGGAAGCCGGGGGTGCAGGGCCTTGTGTCCCCCCACACTCCGTGACAGACGCAGCGAGGAAATCCAGAGACGCGGCGACAACGGGGGCTGAGATGCAGTTTGCTCCTGATCTAACTACCAACCTGTTTATCCAGCCCCGTGCTGTCCCCCGCCCCAGTCTTCTAGCCCCATCTCGTGTCTCTCTATCTCCCCACTGTCCCCTCCAGCTGTCTGTCCATCCCCTGCCCAGACTGCACCCCTCTATCTTCCTGTCCAGCCCCAAACCGCACACACACACTTCTCCCTCCATCCCCATACCCCGCCCCCAGCTGATGGACCCATCACTGCCCTTCCTGGCCCCGTTCCACACCCTGCTGTCACCAAAGCCCCGTAGCAGCCCTGAGAGCGCTCTGCCCTCCTCTGCTCCCGCCAGGCCAGGCCCCAAAGGGGACGAGGCACCTGGAGGGGAAGGTTGAAAAAGGGGAAGAACCATCACCCCGAAGGGGAAGCAGGAGCCTGACGCCGCACGAGGCCCAGCCTCACAGCGACTGGGTGCTGTGGGAGTGAGACAACCCACCCCCTAGGTACCCTCCCTCTGACGGGTGGGCGGGGGGCCCCACCCTGGGCTCAGACAGTACCTTGGCCCCCACCCCCGGCACTTTGGCCATGTCCCCCCTCTATGTAGGGCATGGGAGATGGGTGGCATCCCTTTAAATGGCTGTGACCCCTCCACGGGCGCTCACCGTGTTCTGCGTGTCGGAAGCCAGCCCCAGCTGGGCCTGGTGGGGCTGGGGGGACTCGCAAACAGGGGGCTGGGACCTCACGCTGTAGTTGTGTAAAGAGCAGGAGACGCATCAGTCTGCCTTAGGGGAGCTCCCAAAGGGGTCGCCCGGGACATCTCGGCCACCTGGGAGAACAGATCTCAGCCCCCAACCTGGGACCGGCATCGACAGGCCCAGGACAGCAGGGAATCTATCCTGGCCAGGGAATATTTGGTGCCCCTTTGTGGGGGGGTTAATGTCGGCAGGGGGTGCAGGGAGCTGGGCCGTCAGGCAAAGCCCCTGTGTCCCCTGAACTGCCAGCCCCCGGAGCGGCGTGTC